CACCACCTCCATCCCTTCCAGTAGGGGAACGCACAAAGAATCCATTTTTTCCCCCAAATAAATCCAAATTTTCTACATTCTCTTTGTTCTCAGGATATTTTGCAGCATCTGCTTTGAGTGCAAAGAGCCCCAAAAGGTCTCAACCCATGGTTCACATTCCAAGAGATTCCCTTGCTCCAGATCCACCATCACCATGCCCACCATCTCCATCCCTTCCAGAAGAGGACCGCACAAAGAATTAATTTTCCCTCAAGCAAACCCAAATTTTCTACATTCCCTTTGTTCTCAGGATATTTTGCAGCATCTGCTTTGAGTGGAAAGAGACCCAAAAGGTCTCAACCCATGGCTCACATTCCAGGTGATTCCACTGCTCCAAATCCCCCATCATCATGGACACCACCATCATCATGGACACCACCTCCATCCCTTCCGGAGGGGGAACGCACAAAGAATCCATTTTTTCCCCCAAATAAATCCAAATTTTCTACATTCCCTTTGTTCTCAGGATATTTTGCATGGCCATGGACACCATGTCCGCCAGCATCTGCTTTGAGTGCAAAGAGCCCCAAAAGGTCTCAACCCATGGCTCACATTCCAGGTGATTCCACTGCTCCAAATCCACCATCACCGTGCCCACCACCTCCATCCCTTCCAGAAGAGGACCACACAAAGAATTAATTTTCCCTCAAGCAAACCCAAATTTTCTACATTCTCTTTGTTCTCAGGATATTTTGCAGCATCTGCTTTGAGTGCAAAGAGCCCCAAAAGGTCTCAGTCCATGGCTCACATTCCAGGTGATTCCACTGCTCCAGTTCCACCATCATCATGGACACCACCATGGACATCACCGTGCCCACCACCTCCATCCCTTCCAGAGGGAGCGCACAAAGAATCCGTTTTCCCCCAAGCAAACCCAACTCTTGTACCTTCTCTATGTTCTCAGGACACATTTCAGGTGTGAAAATGCAAAAAGGGACAACGGAAAACCAAAAAAGAACGACGGAAAACCAAAAACGATGGCAGAAAACCAAAAAAGGACGTCAGAAAACCAAAAACGATGGTGGAAAACCAAAAAAGGAAGGAAAGCTAAAAGAGAATGACAGAAAACCAAAAAATATGGCGGAAAGCGAAAAAAGAACGACAGAAAGGCAAAAAAAGGACAACGGAAAACAAAAAAAAGACGACAGAAAACCAAAAATGATGGCGGAAAACCAAAATAGGATGACAGAAAGCCAAAAAAGAAGGGAAAGCTAAAAGAGGAGGACAGAAAGCCAAAAAATGTGGCGGAAAGCCAAAAAAGGGTGACAGAAAACCAAAACAGATGGTGGAAAGCGAAAAAAGAACGACAGAAAGCCAAAAAAGGATGACAGAAAACCAAAAATGATGGCGGAAAACCAAAAAAGGACGGAAAGCTAAAAAAGGATGGCAGAAAACCAAAAACGATGGTGGAAAGGCAAAAAAGAACGACAGAAAGGCAAAAAAAGGACAACGGAAAACCAAAAACGATGGTGGAAAACCAACGAAAGACGACAGAAAACCAAAAAAGATGGCGGAAAACCAAAAAAGGATGGAAAGCTAAAAAAGTATGGCAGAAAACCAAAAAAAGATGGTGGAAAGCGAAAAAAGAACGACAGAAAGGCAAAAAAAGGACAAAGGAAAACCAAAAGAGATGGTGGAAAACCAAAAAAAGAACGACGGAAAACCAAAAACGATGGCGGAAAACCAAAAAAGGAAGGAAAGCTAAAAAAGGATGACAGAAAACCAAAACAGATGGTGGAAAGCGAAAAAAGAACGACAGAAAGCCAAAAAAGGATGACAGAAAACCAAAAATGTGGCGGAAAGCCAAAAAAGGACCGAAAACCAAAAAAGGATGGCAGAAAACCAAAAAAGATGGCGGAAAACCAAAAAGGACGGAAAGCTAAAAAAGGATGGCAGAAAACCAAAAAAGATGGTGGAAAGCGAAAAAAGAACGACAGAAAGACAAAAAAAAGACGACAGAAAACCAAAAACGATGGCAGAAAACCAAAATAGGATGACAGAAAGCCAAAAAAGAATGGAAAGCTAAAAGAGGAGGACAGAAAGCCAAAAAATGTGGCGGAAAGCCAAAAAAGGGCGACAGAAAACCAAAAAAGGACAACAGAAAACCAAAAGCGATGGTGGAAAACCAACGAAAGACGACAGAAAACCAAAAAAGATGGCGGAAAACCAAAATAGGATGGCAGAAAGCCAAAAAAGGACGGAAAGCTAAAAGAGGAGGACGCAAAGCCAAAAAATGTGGCGGAAAGCCAAAAAAGGGCGACAGAAAACCAAAAAGATGGTGGAAAGTGAAAAAAGAACGACAGAAAGCCCAAAAAAGGATGACAGAAAACCAAAAATGATGGCGGAAAACCAAAAAAGGTCGGAAAGCTAAAAAAGGATGGCAGAAAACCAAAAACGACGGCGGAAAACCAAAAAAGGATGGAAAGCTAAAAAAGGATGGCAGAAAACCAAAAACGATGGTGGAAAACCAAAAAAGGACGGAAAGCTAAAAAAGGATGGCAGAAAACCAAAAAAGATGGCGGAAAGCCAAAAAAGAACGACAGAAAGGCAAAAAAAGGACAACGGAAAACCAAAAGCGATGGTGGAAAACCAACGAAAGACGACAGAAAACCAAAAAAGGTGGCGGAAAACCAAAATAGGATGACAGAAAACCAGAAAAGGATGGAAAGCTAAAAGAGGAGGACAGAAAGCCAAAAAATGTGGCGGAAAGCCAAAAAAGGGCGACAGAAAACCAAAACAGATGGTGGGAAGCGAAAAAAGAACGACAGAAAGCCCAAAAAAGGATGACAGAAAACCAAAAATGATGGTGGAAAACCAAAAAAGGACGGAAAGCCAAAAAAGGATGACAGAAAACCAAAAAAGATGGTGGAAAGCCAAAAAAGAATGACAGAAAGGCAAAAAAAGGACAACAGAAAACAAAAAAAAGATGGTGGAAAACCAAAAATGATGGCAGAAAACCAAAATAGGATGACAGAAAGCAAAAAAAGAATGGAAAGCTAAAAGAGGAGGACAGAAAGCCAAAAAATACGGCGGAAAGCCAAAAAAGGGCGACAGAAAACCAAAACAGATGGTGGGAAGCCAGAACAGATGGTGGAAAGCCAAACCAGGACAACAGAAAGCCAAACCAGGACAATGGAAAGCCAAACCAGGACAACAGAAAGCCAAACCAGGCCGATGCAAGGCAAGGGTGGCCGCTGAGCCGGGGGCGCTGCTCACCTGGAAGGGACAGGGGATGTGGTACTCGCGGCAGCGCTCCTGGATCCACGTGGTCTCCCACACGCCCCGGTAGGCCTGCTCGTAGAAGTAGCAGCCGATGACCACCAGCAGGGGCACGAGGTAGAGCACGCTGAAGACGCCGATGCGGATCATGAACTTGACCAGCTTGTCCTGGTTCTCCTTCTCCAGCGGGATCTCGATGCGCACGCGGTTGAGGGAGATGATCCCGGCCAGCAGCAGGGACACGCCCACCACCACGTAGAGGCACAGGGGCGCCAGCACGAAGTAGCGCAGCGCATCCACGTCGTAGAGCCCCACGAAGCACACGCCGCTGATGTTGTCGCCCTCGATCTTGTTCATGGCCAGCAGGATGATGGTGAGCGTGCCCGGGATGCCCCAGGCGCTGGCGTGGAACAGCAGCGCCTTCTTCTCGATGGCCTCGCTGCCCCACTTGGGCACGGCGGCCAGGAACCAGGTGATGGTGAGGATGACCCACCAGACGCTGCCGGCCATGGTGAAGAAGTAGAGCACCATGAAGAGCATGGTGCAGGCCTTGTTGTGCGAGCCCTGCGTCACCGTGGAGGCCTTGTACTGCGAGGGGCTGGAGGCGTTGCAGGCCACGCGGTCCTCCAGCAGGAAGCCGATGAAGAAGATGAGGGACACCATCATGTAGCAGACGGCGTAGAAGATGATGGGGCGCTCCGGGTAGCGGAAGCGCGTGACGTCGATGAGGAAGGTGAGGAAGGTGAACAGGGTGGCCGAGAGGCAGACGATGGAGATGACGCCGATGAAGTAGCGGGCGAAGGAGAGCTCCTCGCGGCGGAAGTACATGTTGGGGCACGGAGGGGAGCAGTCCCGCACCCTGAGGAAGGAGTAGCCCAGCTCGGGGTCGATTTTCAGCTCCCGGGGACACCAGAAGCCGTAATCCCTCTGCACGGCCATCGGCGCCTCCTCCGTGGGCTCGCCCGCCAGGTTGAGGTCAACCAGGCGAGGGTAGGGCTCGTCGCAGTCCGGGAACCTGGAAAGAGGAGTTTACAAGGAGTCTACTCACAATTTACAAGGACTGGGAGCCTCACTGCACACAGAACTCACAGAGTCACTGGGTTGGAAGAGACCTCCAAGATCACTGAGTCCAACCCAGCCCCAACACCTCAACTGAACCCTGGCACCCAGTGCCACATCCAGGCCTTGTTAAACACACCCAGGGATGCTGACTCCATAAGCTCCTTGGGCAGAACATTCCAGAACTTCATCATTGTTTCAGTAAAAATCTTTTTCCCAATATCCAACCTATATTTCCCTTGGGGCACATCTTCTGTCTCTGGTTATGTCCGTGCTACCTGGAGAAAGAGCCCAGCCCCAGGTGAGCACAGGCACCTTTCAGGAGCTGTGCAGAGTGATGAGATCACCCCTGAGTCTCCTTTTCTGGGTTCTGTGGTAGTGTGCTGTTAAGTTTCTTGTGTTATTCCCCCAATTTATGTATTGTTCTCCCTTATTATGTGTAAAATGGTTTCGTTCCCCCAGTTTGTCCCGCCACTGCTACCCTGTCAGATAAGTTGCTATAGCAACCGCTATTCATAGTTGCCGATATGTAATTGCTCCTCCCCTGGTTTCCCTTATAAGTGAAAGTTGTTTCCTCCCTGTCCAGTCAATCACTCCCTTCCTCCTCCCAGGTTTCGAGAACCTTCTCCTCTCTGGAGATGGTGGTTGGCTGGGGTCCCAGGACNGAGCCCCAAAAGGTCTCAACCCATGGCTCACATTCCAGGTGATTCCACTGCTCCAAATCCACCATCACCGTGCCCACCACCTCCATCCCTTCCAGTAGGGGAACGCACAAAGAATCCATTTTTCCCCCAAATAAATCCAAATTTTCTACATTCACTTTGTCCTCAGGCTACATTTGCAGCATCTGCTTTGAGTGCATAGAGACCCAAAAGGGTCTGGAATCAACCCATGGCTCACATTCCAGGTGATTCCACTGCTCCAAATCCCCCATCATCATGGACACCACCATCACCGTGCCCAGCACCTCCATCCCTTCCAGAGGGGGAGTGCACAAAGAATTAACTTTCTCTCAAGCAAATCCAAATTTTCTACATTCTCTTTGTTCTCAGGACAACTTTGCAGGTCTCACAACATCTCCATTGAGTGGAAAGAGCCCCAAAAGGTCTCAACCCATGGCTCACATTCCAGGTGATTCCACTGCTCCAGATCCACCATCATCGTGCCCACCACCATCATCATGGACACCATCATCACCATGCCCACCACCTCCATCCCTTCCAGAGGGGGACCACACAAAGAATCCGTTTCTCCCCAGACAAACCCAACTCTTGTACCTTCTCTTTGCTCTCAGGACACCTTTGCAGGTCTCACAACATCTCCATTGAGTGCAAAGAGCCCCAAAAGGTCTCAACCCATGGCTCACATCCCAAGTTATTCCACTGCTCCAAATCCACGATCATCATGGACAGCACCATCACCGTGCCCACCACGTCCATTCTTTCCAGTAGGGGAACGCACAAAGAATCCATTTTTTCCCCCAAATAAATCCAAATTTTCTACATTCCCTTTGTTCTCAGGGTACCTTTGCATGGCCATGGACACCATGTCCACCAGCATCTGCTTTGAGTGCAAAGAGCCCTAAATGGTCCCAGCCCATGGCTCACATTCCAAGAGATTCCACTGCTCCAAATCCACCATCATCATGGACACCACCATCATCATGGACACCATCACCGTGTCCACCACCTCCACCCCTTCCAGAGGAGGACCACACAAAAAATTAATTTTCCCTCAGGCAAACCCAAATTTTCTACATTCCCTTTGTTCTCAGGGTACCTTTGCATGGACATGGACACCATGTCCACCAGTGTCTGCTTTGAGTGGAAAGAGCCCCAAAAAGTCTCAATCCATGGCTCACATTCCAGGTGATTCCACTGCTCCAGATCCACCATCATCATGGACACCACCATCACCGTGCCCACCACCTCCACCCCTTCCAGAGGGGGAGCACACCAAGAATCCGTTTTCCCCCAAGCAAACCCAACTCTCGTACCTTCTCTTTGTTCTCAGGACACATTTCAGGTGTGAAAATGCAAAAAGGGACAACGGAAAGCCAAAAAAGAACGACGGAAAACCAAAAATGATGGCAGAAAACCAAAAAAGGGTGGAAAGCTAAAAAAGGATGACAGAAAACCAAAAAAGATGGTGGAAAGGCAAAAAAAAATGACAGAAAGGCAAAAAAAGGACAAAGGAAAACCAAAAGAGATGGTGGAAAACAAAAAAAAGACGACGGAAAACCAAAAACGATGGCAGAAAGCCAAAAAAGAATGGAAAGCTAAAAGAGGAGGACAGAAAGCCAAAAAATGTGGCGGAAAGCAAAAACAGGGCCACAGAAAACCCAAACAGATGGTGGAAAGCGAAAAAAGAACGACAGAAAGCCAAAAAAGGATGACAGAAAACCAAAAACGATGGCGGAAAACCAAAAAAGGACGGAAAGCTAAAAAAGGATGGCAGAAAACCAAAAAAGATGGTGGAAAGTGAAAAAAGAACGACAGAAAGGCAAAAAAAGGACAACGGAAAACCAAAAACGATGGTGGAAAACCAACGAAAGACAACGGAAAACCAAAAACGATGGCGGAAAACCAAAAAAGGATGACAGAAAACCAGAAAAGGATGGAAAGCTGAAAGAGGAGGACACAAAGCCAAAAAATATGGCGGAAAGCCAAAAAAGGGCGACAGAAAACCAAAAAGATGGTGGAAAGGCAGAACAGATGGTGGAAAGCCAAACCAGGACAACGGAAAGCCAAACCAGGACAATGGAAAGCCAAACCAGGACAACGGAAAGCCAAACCAGGACAACAGAAAGCCAAACCAGGACAACAGAAAGCCAAACNATCCACCATCACCGTGCCCACCACCTCCATCCCTTCCAGAAGAGGACCACACAAAGAATTAATTTTCCCTCAAGCAAATCCAAATTTTCTACATTCTCTTTGTTCTCAGGATATTTGGCAGCATCTGCTTTGAGTGCAAAGAGCCCCAAAAGGTCTCAACCCATGGCTCACATTCCAGGAGATTCCACTGCTCCAGATCCACCATCACCATGGACACCACCATCACCATGCCCACCACCTCCATCCCTTCCAGAGGGGGAGTGCACAAAGACTCCATTTTTCCCCCAAATAAATCCAAATTTTCCACATTCCCTTTGTTCTCAGGACACCTTTGCAGGTCTCACAGCATCTCCATTGAGTGCCAAGAGACCCAAAGGGTCTCAACCCATGGCTCACATTCCAAATCCCCCATCATCATGGACACCGCCATCACCGTGCCCACCACCTCCATCCCTTCCAGAAGAGGACCACACAAAGAATTAATTTTCCCTCAAGGAAATCCAAATTTTCTACATTCTCTTTGTTCTCAGGATATTTTGCAGCATCTGCTTTGAGGGCAAAGAGCCCCAGAAGGTCTCAACCCATGGCTCACATTCCAAGTGATTCCACTGCTCCAAATCCACCATCATCACGGACACCACCATCACTGTGCCCACCATCTCCATCCCTTCCAGTAGGGGAACGCACAAAGAATCCATTTTTCCCCCAAATAAATCCAAATTTTCTACATTCTCTTTGTTCTCAGGGTACCTTTGCATGGCCATGGACACCATGTCCACCAGCATCTGCTTTGAGTGGAAAGAGCCCCAAAAGGTCTCAATCCATGGCTCCAATTCCAAGAGATTCCACTGCTCCAAATCCACCATCATCATGGACACCACCATCACCGTGCCCACCACCTTCGCCCCTTCCAGAGGAGGACCACACAAAGAATTCGTTTTCCCTCAAAGAAATCCAGATTTTCTACATTCTCTTTGTCCTCAGGACACCTTTGCAGCACCTGCTTTGAGTGCAAAGAGCCCCAAAAGGTCTCAACCCATGGCTCACATTCCAGGTGATTCCACTGCTCCAAATCCACCATCATCATGGACAGCACCATCACCGTGCCCACCACCTCCATCCCTTCCAGTAGGGGAACGCACAAAGAATCCATTTCTTCCCAAATAAATCCAAATTTTCTACATTCTCTTTGTTCTCAGGA